CATGTCAACAAATAAACAAGCAAGATATGTCTGAAGTATGGAAGTTTCAAAATTATAAGTTACAATTATACATCTCATTGTTCCAGGGAAGAAATTACTTTAAATTAATATAAGCAAGTTCTGATTATGATAAAACTGTCAACATTATTACATGTAGAAATACTCTTTCTGTAATGCTAGCTAAAATATAAAAACATTTTGAAAAGCACCTGAAACTATGAAGTAGTGAGAACTCACTAGGATAAACACTGAAAGAAAAAAGGCCAAAAATACAAGCATAGTAAAATCATGTTTTCTCTGGTAATACTTGGTAAGCTTAGTACACATTATTGTTTAAGTTTTGAAGAGAAGGGTCTAAGAAATAACTTTCACTAGGAGGGAGCTCAAAGGATTTTATCTGTAGGTGAAGGTTAAACCAGCAATAAGTCTTAATATCTCATATTCTGGGAATACAGTAAGTTTTTATTGGTATTATTCTTAGGGGGATAAAAATACCTGAGAAGTAGTGATCAAAATTGGTGCTTGTTCTTACAAATACCCTAAATTCATATAATCTGCCTCAGAAAACTTCAAATTTAGTTATTGGGAATGGTCCTAGATTGTGAGTGCCCTTTGCTTTAAATCCCTTCTTACAAGAATGTACTTATATGCTGAGTTTCAAATGAATCTGATAGAGGAGAAAATACGGAGCTGAAGAATAAAAGTAAATAAACATATCAAAAAGAAAGGTCATAGCAAAAGACTATGCAAAACAAACAAACAAACAAACAAAAAAACATAGAAACAGACCTACTCTGAAAACATGAGAACTTCAGCTAGTCTGTAAAAGAAATTTACCATATTAAAAAAAGGTACAGGGAAATCTGTAAAAATAGGAAATATCCACAAGGAACATGTGTTCTAGAAGAAAATAATTCCAATTAAATAAAATATCCCAGAAAACAGAAAAAGTTCTTCACAACTCCCTTTATGGGGTTAACAAAGCCTTGATAATAAAACCTGAAATGGAAAGAATAAAAAGGGAAAATTGCAGGAAAGTCTCACTGAGAAATAAAATGTTTTAATGCTAAAGAAGATGTTAGTTAATCACTTCTAGCAATAATTTTTAAACAATGATCCAGGTGAAATTATTTCAGGGATACATATTACATTCAACATTAAAAAGCTCAGTGGTAGTTAAATATAAAGCAGAGAGATAGTGGGGCAGTGAATCAGAGAAAAGGATGAGGGATATGACACTGAAGTTATTTGCAATTAATACTGTAATGGTGGACATATAACATGTATGTATAAAGACCTTGAGAAATTCTCAGTGCAAAGAGTCCTAATGTAATGTAATAAGTAATAACATATAAATGCTTGGCTCATCGATTGTAATAAACATACCACAACAACACAAGCCTATGTTAACAACAGGGGAAACAATGGAGAAGAGATATATGGGAACTCAGTAATTTCAGTCTAATATCTTAAATGTCTCTAAAAGAGTCTATTCAAAATTATACTGCTTATGAAATTTTAAATGCCTAACCTCCAAATTAAAAATAACAGGTACAAGACAGTTTCACTGACACATGACAATAAACTCTATAAAATACTAAAAGAAAATAAACCTAAATGGAAAAATATGTACAATGATCAAAAATTGAAAGACTAAAGATACAAACTCACCCACCATTGATGTCTAGCACTACTCATCTAAAGCAACTATTACTTTTCCCTTTAACAACTACATAAATGAACAATAAAGGTAGGGGTGGGTTACTACTGGCATTTAGTAGGTAGAGGACAGGGAACTGTGCTAAATATTATATAAGACAGGAAAGCTTCCTGAAACAAAGAACTAAACAGGCAAAAATGTCAACTGTATCTAGGCTAAGAAACATTTATATACAAATTCAATATAATTCCATTCAAAATTCCACCAAGAATTTTAATGGACTGGATAATTAATATAAAAACATATTAAATTACAGAAGAGACTCTTTAATACATCAAATATCAAATATGTAGGACTTAGAAAAACTCCTGTGAACAAAATCTTAATGCCACTGGTGTCACTGTACAGGTAAGAAATAAAGGATGTTTCACTGTATAATATTCAATTTCAGAGGAAATAAAGCAATAAATTTGCATGGATTAACTACATATAACAAAACTATATAAAACACAAATTTTATTAGAAAACATTCTAACTTCATGACCATGATACAAAGAATTTCTTCAAACATGGAAATTCAAATAAAGGAAAAGATTAACACTTCTTTTGAATTACAAACTTCTATCCACTCAGTCTTTCATCAAATACTTACAAATTCTGGGGATACAACAGGGAATAAAGTAGAATAGAGAATAAAGTAAGTAAAAACCACTGAATTCAAGGGGATAAATTTCTCAAAAAGCAATAAAAAGGGATAAAAACAAGCCACAATATAGCTATACTTTGCAACACATACAACCAACAAACACAACTAACATTAAGGCTTAAAAAAAAAAAAACAAAACTTCATACAAATCAAGCAGACTGAATCCCAACAGATTAATAGATGACTTTAAGTAGTTCATGTAAGACAAAATCCAAATAAAATGTGAAACAGTTCTCAGTCTCAATAGTAACAGGAAATAAAACCCCAATTTGATCTTCTAAACCTACACAAAGCAAACACTAGAAGACTGCTGATATTAAGTATAGCAAATATTAGAAGTCACCAGAATTATGCAATATAACTGACTACAGTTTAAAAAAGTCCTGACAACATTTGTCAAAATTACAACAAAAGTGAGGTGGAGTTCTAAATACATATGAGAATGCACATGTTTCAGACTGGTACTAAAACTGGCAGTTTGCTTTTATCATTTGGTTAGAGTGATGCCTTACCAAATTTGTTCATGATTAAAGTTACATTATAAATATAAATATATTTAAGGAAATAATTTTGAGACTAAATAAATGCTGTGCTCTTAAACAAAATAGTTTTATATACCTGGAGTACTGAATTAAAATGCTAGTACTTTTTACACAGTTCTGTATAGTTATGTTAATGTATGGTAAGGTTCATGCATTTGTTCTGTTTGCATACAATTTATTATTTTCTTTCCATTTTTGTTGTTTTTTTCCTAGGTATGTAAGATATTAACTACAAGAGAATTACTTAAAAATTATACTCAGATTAATATTTTTCATCTCATTTCTCTCTAAACTGGTTACTGCATTTACACACATACCACATGTAAGCAATTTCATCATTCTGGTTATCTCTCCTGTGTTTCTTTCTGACCAAATGAACAAATATTTCCATACACTCCACTACTTCCCCTTCTTTCAAAACAAAAAACTTTCACACTTTTGGTATTTCTTGCATTTTGCCCTAAAAAATGTATCTTGATAATCTCATTGCATCAGTCCACAGACATACACCTCATTCTTTTTTACAGTACTACAAAACTCTATGGCCATACCACAATTTATTCGACCACTGTTCTACATATGAGCATTTGGATGGCTTTCAATATTTTGCAATTACAAACAATATTGTATTGTATAATACTGTACACTTATTTTCATATGGATGATTTTCATTTCTATTTCTACTATGAGCAAGATTTCAAAGCCATGTCTGTTTTTTTACCCAGAAGTAGGATAGTGGATCAAAAATTGGTAGATATTCCCAAATCCCTTTCCATGTGAAATGTACCAATTTGTATTCCAACTAACAATGATGTATATTTTCTCACAGACTAACCAACAGAATACTGACAGGTGAAAAACTGGTATCTCAGTGTAACTGTAATTTGTAGTTCTCTTTCATGTTTTAAGATCTGCTTAATAAAGTTACATAGATCCTTGGCTCAATTACTGAACTTTATTATTTTCCACAATTCTACTTAACAGTGCTTCCTAATCATATTAAGAAAATATGAACCTCTGCCTTTTTTGTCACAGTTTTTTAAAATATATATTATAAAATGCCATTTCAGGAACTATGAAGGTAGTCAAAAGGAAAATGGGTAAGGAATAGAGAACAGAGAATTCACTGGGTAAAAAAGTAGATAAGGCTTTGAAATCTTGCTCATAGTAGAAATACAAATTAAAATCATCCATATACAAATTTTTTTCCATGGGCCAACAATCAAAATGTAAGAGCTAAACCTACAAAATCAATCAAAAGAACACAAAAACAGGAGTAAATCTTTATGGCCATGGATTCAGAAATGCAATCTTAAAATCTGACATCATAAGCATAAGCAATATGTGAAAAATTAGATAAAATGAACTTTGAAACTTTAAACTTATGAACATCATGAAAATAGTGAAAAACAATACTAGATTGGGAGAAAATCAGTGCAAGTTATTTATCTGATAAAGTTTAAAACCAAAACTATATGAAGAACTAACAATTTTATATAGAGTTGTAAAATAAGGGATCTACCAATTGCCTACTACCAATATTCCTAATCTAGTGCATCAGTACAAATAATATCAGTATTAACTATAAAAGTTTCTGATCTAGGGCCCTCCCTGGTGGCACAACAGGTTAAAGCACTGCCCTAATAAGCTAAAGCCACTTCCACGAGTTCAATCCCCGCTTGCCCCAGACTTCTTCTGACCCGCCTGCTGCTCCCCTCAGCAGTGTACTTCATCTATCTGCCTGTTCTGCTCCCCACTCTGTGTGTGGTGAATCCTATCACCGTCCCTGCGCCTCTGGCCTGTATCCAGTTCTGTATCCAGAAATAAATAAATTAAAAAAAAAAAAGTTTCTGATCTAAAAAGTGAAATCGTAAATTCATTTAATGAATTTCAGATCACCTTTTCAAAGCTGCAAAATGTTCAGCATCCGTTATTTCATAAAAACAAAACTGAGAACAACTGAAATACCTAATTTTCTCTACCAGGAGATGATTAACAGATAAATCCTACCAAGAATGATATATGACTAAGGAAAGTTGTGACACTGTTGGAATGAGTCTCAATGAGTATCATTTACTCCAACTTTCTGTACCTCGACATCCTGAACACTGGATAAAAAAGTTGATTAAATCCAGAAGTGCGATGTCCCTGTCTTGCTTATATGATTCAATCCAGTCATCAACCACGGACTGTAGGAAAAAAAAATACATAAAATTGAAAACTTCACAGAAATTTGAGGCTACCACAAATAAATTTCCCAAAATGTTGTGCTTTTCTAAGTCTATTTAAAAAATAAAACAACTTACCTGAATTATTTATTGTAGTCAAATAAGAATAGATTCCCTCATATTTAAAGACAATTAAGAAGTTAGTAACTAATTTCAAAGTCTTTCTACAAAAGACATGATGCAAATCTGAATTTATCAATCCCATAAATCTAAACAATTACTGATACTAGTATTCAACACTTTGAAAATAACACAAAAAAGTTAATAAACTTCATTTGTAAATAGATAAATTCTTAGTGTAAAAAGTACCTACTCGATTAGAAGTGCAGAGTTACATATTTAGAGCTGCATTTTGTTTCAACAATTGAAAATAATAGAAAACTCACAAGATACAGAAAGCTATTTAAGTAGCATATAACTGAAGATGAAAAAGATTAGTGCCATGCCAACAGTATCTCTAATTAGGTAAATTTAATGTGATTCAAGTTAACATTTTAGTGCACAGCACTGTTTGGAGTTTTCTTTGGTGTGGTAGGGGACAAGGAGAAATGTAGAAAAAAAATTTAAATTAAAAAAACCTTTTCTAATTTTGTACTCAGGTATAACTTATATGCAGTAAAATGTACAAATCTTGTTATCTTGAAAAAATTTTATAAATATAAACTCACCCCCCCAAATACATCTTTCAGCATGAAAATATAAACTATTTCCAGGACTGAAATAATCTTAAATTCCCTTCTAGACATTAATCATCCCAACACAAATGGATTCACTATTATTTTGAAATAGTTGGCATTTTATGGAATTCATATAAATAATATCACATTTTATTTGATTTTTTTTCCATCATATTTGGAGCAATGAGATTCAGCCATATTATCAAGTATGTCAGTAATTTTACTTTAGCATCACTGAGTAGTATTTCACTGTATTAATACACAGATAATTTATTACCCATTTCTCCACAGATAGGTATGTATGTTGTTTTTATTACAGAGCTGTAATAAATTACTGAGAATATGTTTTTTAAACATCTTTTGATGGGCCTAAATCCTTTTCTATAATTATCATGACTATGTGTGTGTGAATCTAAGGTTGTATATATAACCACTGACTAACTCAACATAGAGAATATATGTTATTAGCACCAACCACATATTTTGGAGCTGAAGAATGCAGTCAACATACTGAAAAGTTCAACAGAGCATTTTAACAGTAGACTTGAACAAGTCAAAGAAAATCAGTGAGTTAGAACACAAATTCAAGTTATACAATGAGGTACAAAAGGAAAAAAAATGATAAGAACTTAGAAGCTCATAGGAACTATGAGATACCATCAAAAGAACTAAATAAAATACATACAAGTAGTCCGAAGAAAGGCCAAAAAAAAAAAAAATTGTAGAATTATTATTCAAAGAAATACTGCTGAGATCATCTAAACTTCAAAGGAGATTACAACATTAAAGTTCATGAAGATAACAGGTCACTCTAAAGTTTTAATCTTAAACATTCTTCTCCAATAGCATAGAACTAAGACTCTTAAAAAAAACCAATCCAAGTAGAATATAAGTTAGCATGAAAAAATGATGTTCAAGGCCATCAAAAAGCTTCTCAGCACAGATCTCACAAGCCAGGAAAGAATGGAATGCCAACAAACTGCCAAAAGAAAGAAACATTATCTAGCAGGAAATAATTGAATCAAGGAAACATTACCTAGCAAAGATGTTCTTTGTATGTCAAAGTCAAAGAAAGACTTTCTCCAAAGGACAAAAGCTGAGGGAATCCATTACCACTAAACCTGACTTTTGAAAAGTGCTTAAGTGGCTTAAGGGTTAAATCTCAGCACTTCCACCATGAGGACCCACCTCAAGGGCGAGCGTTCAATTACCAGCCAGGCAGCTAACCCACATGGTGTAACAGACCTCACCTTTTTCACCCACTGTTCCCTTAGCAGTGTATTTCAGTAGATCTGCCTGTTCTGCTCCCTAGTCAGTCTTTGGTGAATACTCTTACACACACACCCCACCTCTGGCCTAGCTCTTCCATGCAAAACTCAATCAATCAATCACAATTATGCAAAGAAAAATAATAATAATAAATGGGAAGAGTTTCATAATAGAGATTTAGTATGCAAAACTGTCTTCAGCATGAAACAGTGTTATCAAGTATACTAGAGGTTTTATGTAAGACTCACAGGAGCCAAAAAGAAAATTCTATAACCTATACCCAAAAAATAAAGAGAAGGGAATCTTAGTAGAAAACTACTAAGAAGAGTCATGAATTACAAAAGAAAGCAACAAGAAAGGAAGAAAAACAGTAACATTAAAACAGCTAGAAAACAAAAAGATGGCATTAAAAAATCCTACTTAGCAATCACTACAACAAATGTTAATGTACTAAATTCTACAATCAAAAGTCACAAAGTAGCTGGAAGAGTATAAAAAATAATCCCCAACTATATCTTCATTTGTAGAGACTCACATGTGGTTCACGTACACATGTATACTCGAAGTTTAGGGATGACTAAAGATATTGCAAGTGGAAACCTTAAGAAAGCAGTGGTAGCTATCTGTATTATCAGAAAAAAATAGGATTTAAACCAAGTCAAAAAGAGACAGATAATCACTATATACTGAGAGCTAGTTAATGAAGATGTAACAATCAGAAACATATCGGCACACACAACAGCAGCACATAAACATAAAAGTAAAATTGACAGAAGACATTAATACAGAAATAGAGTGAACTTCAATCCTACTTTCAACAAGATAGATTAGCCAAGAAAACCAACAAGGAAATGGTGGGATTAAACCACACTTCAGATAAAGTGTATAGACACATACAGAATATTGTGTCCAACAGCAACAGAATATACAGTACTGTCAAGTTCACATAAACATTTTCCAGGACAGATAATCTACCAGGTCACAATATGAGAAATAGCAACTTTAAGAAAACTGAAATTAGGCTCTTCCTGGTGGTGCGGCAGCTTAAAACACACAACTAAGAAGCTAAAGCCACTTCAGCATGAATTCAAACCCTGCCCTGGAGGTGATCCACATGGTGTGGTAGACCTCTCCTGACCCATCCACTGCTCCCCTCAGCAGTGTACTTCATCAGTCTGTCTGTTCTGCTCCCTGCTCTGTCTCTGGTGAATCCTCTCACTGCCTCTGCACCTCTGGCCTGTAACCTAGTTCTGTATGCATGAATAAATCAATCTTTAAAGAAAAAGAAAACTGAAATTAAACCAAATATTTCTTCTAGTCTTGGGTATTTCTTCCATGCTTGGGTATGAAACTAGAAATCAACAGCCCAAGCATAACTGGAAAATTCACAAATACACGGATTTTCAACAATATTCCTGAACATGACACGTGTCAAAAATCAAGTGTGAAGGAGGAAAAAAGTTAAAAATACCTTCACCAATGAAAACAAAAGGCAATATATCAAAATATATGGTTGCTGACAAATCAGTTTTGAAAGGAAATTTTACAGCAACAAATGCCTACACTAAGAAACAATAATCATCTCAAATAAATAACCTCATATTACATTTCAAAGAATAGGAAAAAGAACAAACTAAGCCCAAAATTACCAAAAGGAAGGAAATAAAGATCTAAGAAGAAATAAATGAAACAAAAACCAAGGAAGCAAAATAAAAGATCAATGGAAACAGATAGATACTATTTAAAAGATAGCAGATTTACCATTAGAAAGACTAAAATCAGAAAAAAGAGAGACTCATTCAAAAGTGAAAGACTCTACAATTGTATCACAAATATATAATGATCATGAGAGACTACTATAAATAATTATATACCAGGAAAGTGAATAATCTAGAAAAAAATACACTACCTATTAGAAATAAAATCTAGAGGCATGACATCACCAACACAGTGGTGAAAAGTCACTAGATTAAGTTCTCTCTTACATATAATAAATAAGGGAGGAATTACAGCAAACTCCAGCCAGGATTCAGATGTTTTGGACAGGACTGGTGACCCAAAGGAAGCAGGAGGAACCTGAGAGCATCAGAAGAAAGGAGTGGGAACTATTGACCAACCCACCACCCTCCCCCCAACCTCTACCTCCAAACCTGGAACACCTTGCCAGAAAAGGAGAAAAAAACCTGAAAGCAACTGGGAAAAACTGAAACATCTAAAAATTCCAGAAAGTGAAGCAAAGGTCAGAGGTTGATTCAAGTGGAGGGGAGCAGGACTACAGCAGATCCCAAGCCTATGACTTGGAACTGATCTGATCCTGACTGGTGACTGGCTGATGGGGGTGTGATGTGTGGGTGGTTTTGTGTTCCTGCTGGCAACAACCCTTACTTGCCATAGCGAGGGTAGGGCAGGGGGCTGGCTGCATCTGCGGGAACACCTGGATCCTGTCACAGCCAGAAAACAAGAAACAGCAACTAGAACAGTTGGTCTGTGAGAGTGGAAGCCAGGAAGGGCTTGGTTGCAGCCTGCTGGAACAGGCAGGTCTCCAATGCAGAAAAGAATCCTGGCAAAAATGAGGCAGCCTTAAGCTTATGCTTCCCAGGACATTGGAAGCTGAGTTGGACGTGGCTGCCACTGCACTGAATCCAGTCATAACTAGAAGTTGGGCAGCGGCAGAGCTGACATTACTAGCACACAGTTACCTTGGCCCAGATGGAAACCAGGCTAGGGTGGGGGCATTGCCAACAGAACACACAACCACCCTGATGAAACCAGGCAACAGAGGGACCACCACCACCACCCCCAAGAATGTACATCCCCCAACCACAGTTGTAAGCTATGAATCCCACCATCCTCCCATAGAACAGTGGAAATACAGAGGGTGGAAGTCACAGAATACAGCACTAAGACTCACCGTCATACCTACAACATCACCCTTGTGGAGGATTGGCGCATTAGTGCTAGACCCTGTCTGACAACCAGTCCTCGGCACCCCACAAGGAGTACCTGGAAGAAATG